GAGTTTGTATGTAATGTATGAATATAATATACAAGTTTCACTTTTTAAATGGAATTACTGAAATAAATCTACTTTTTCATGATATTCTAATTTTATGACCAGCACCTGTATATGTGAATCGGAAAGATACAAAATGCACATCTAAAATGCCGTATTTTACTTTGTGGTACACAAACGATGGTTAAAGGAATATTTAAGTTTAAAACAAACCAAGTGTATTACAAGCTCATCAAAAGTCCTGCAATTTTAAATTCTGATTTGACAAGAAAAACAAGCAAGGTGTTCATCATAGACAACAGCTTCAAGTTTTGCATCCACTCCTAACATGGGAGTAACTTTTGTGTTCAATAAGTTTATGAGTAAAAGTTAGAAAACAACATTATCTTTTCTTGTTAAAAAACAAACAAACATAATCAACGAACATGTTTTTTTCTTCTTTCCTAATATTTCTTGTCTCCAGGGTCTAGATGAGGAGGCAATAGTTGACCACGGAAAGTCCAGCTTCTCTACTCACACAAACTATGAGAAGGATGACCTAGAAGGTGAGTAAAGCCATCCAACCTGAAATACTCTACTCACACACAGTTGTTTTTTTATTTTTATTTGAGTGAAATTTTTAAGTTAAAGTTGCTTTTTATGTGGGTTTACAACGAAATAATCATACTTATAAAAATGTTGACATTTTTCAATAAATTCAAGAACTCTGAACGTGTAATTTAATTTAAAGTCAATAAAGTATTTTGCAAACACAGGTACAAAGAAATGATACAAGTTAAGGGATTAACAAACACCTGATTTGGCTGTTAAGTTATGAAGTATTAAAACTCTTTGGATTGTATTTAAAGGCACAAAAAATGTCTTAAAAGATCAACTTGATTGGACATATTGATCATTTACTTTGGTCTTCAAGTGTGACTAATTACCATATTAATTCAAGTATAATACGTAAAATTAAATCCATAAAATCATCCATAAAGTTGGGGGGTTGTACTCGGATAAATATTTTTACTTATGTATTTCAACTGAAATATCGGCTTCATTCACAAAATGTAGGGATGTGAATAAATTTTTAATCCTACACCAATATTAAATCTAACATCGGATTCCAAAAAAACATTTCAAACCATACAAAATAACACCAAAATCATGTGATTATCTGAAGTATGAGGGAAGTTATTGATGTTTGTTTAGGTGAAATCAGCTCATGTTTTCTTGCTGCAGTTCACAGCAGAACCCAATGTGACCATTTCACCTTGCTGTTTTCTAATTTTGCTCATAACTTCCTCAGTGTTCAAGGTATCGCCATGAAATTTTAGGAAAAGATTCCCATTCTGGTTTTGTAGGAAGCATCTTGTATCCTAAAAAAACTAATAAAACTGAATAATAGCCAATTCAAAAGTAGCAGAAAAGGTATAGAATAGCATTACAAGGCAAACTGTAGCATCAAATCAACTTAATGTGTCTTAGAAAGTAAGGAAATTAAAACAATTTAAAAATCATGTGGACATCTGTTTTGTAAACAAAGCTCCTCAACCAATGACAGCGTGCTAAATGTGTCAAGTGACGAAGACGAGCATCAAAACACTTTGCAACAAGCGCTGTTCCAGATTTAAAAAAAACATACTTCGACGTTTCAAATCATTATCAAATTTGGAACAAGGGCAGATAAAATAATGTTCTTCATGGCAGCTTATCTCTTTAAGGGGTCACTAGAAAAACTCGGGTGATTTACTTTGATCCTCTTTTCAAAAAATTGTCTTTCAAAACGTATCAACAAAATTAAAAACTCGAAGACGAGGCTGTAGCTAACTACCTGACGGCAGCCCGATTTGTTGAAATTCGTAGAAATAACGAAGCAGGAGGAAATTACAAGCAAACGCACCGAGCAGCCTTGCAAAATCTGGTCACAGCAGTTTGGGAAGTAAATGGCAGCAGTTGCTGACGAAATGTCAACATCCCTACAAAATGCCTAAGTCCGGAAATGAAACCGCGTCATAAAATCAGTTGGAACGAGCTTACCTCTGACACTCCTCCATGCTTCAGAGCGAAACAGATCCAAACAGGCGACATGATGTGAAAAAAAGGGGCAAAAAGTAGTCCTTCACCCTAGTAATGATGAACTAATAACATTAGTGTGTGACCAGGCCGCTCCTCGAACAACAACAAACACATGTTCGTCTGTAATGGCGGTCGTCTACCAGTGTTCTGAAAAAGTTTGTATCCCTGAAAAAGCGTTTCCCCACCAGAGGGGGCACTCACGAGTAGGAAGTAATCTGCTTTTCCCCCACAAGA